CTTTAGGTCCTCGGCAGCAGATTCACCCAATGCAATACGTCTTTTGATTTCTTGAATGCTGATGCCAAGGGATTATGGATCCAAGCAAGACAACTTCCAGTCTCCTCTCTCTCTGTCATGATACTGTATATTGGCCCAGTGGTGAAGTTCTAGATGTTGAGATGAAATCCATATTGAAGACTGCAGTCTTTAAAATTTGATAGATAGATAGATATATGGATATGTATTTTATTATATATTTATATAATATACATATGTACATTAGTCTTGAGTTTTAAATCCTCTTTGCTTTAGCCAAGCAAGGTTGTGTCATCTGCATAAGATAGGTTGTTGAGTCTTCCTCCAATCCTTATGCCACATTCTTCATCTAGTCCAGAGTCTCAAATTATTTGCTCAGCATACACACTGACTAGGTAGTGAGAAAGGATACCCTCTGATGCACACCTTTCCTGGTTTTCAATAATACAGTGTTCTCATGTTTTGTTTGCATAACAGTTCTGTGGTTTAAGTATAGGTTTTGCATGAACATAATTAAGTGTTCTGGGATTCCCACTCTTCTCAATGTTAGCCATATTTTATTATGATCCACACCATCAAATGCCTTTGCATAGTCAATAAAACACAAACAGACATTCATCTGGTATTCTCTGCTTTCATCCAACATCCATCTGGCATCAGCAATGATACCACCTGTTGCCATGCCTCTTCTAACCCTAGCTTGAATTTCTACTAGTTCTCTGCTGATGTTATATTCCAGCTGTTTTTTAATTATCTCCAGCAAGATTTTACTTGTATATGATATTGCTTGGTAATTTTTATACAATGAACCAACATTTTGAAAATGGAACAAATATGAGTCTTTTCCAATCAGGTGGCCAAGTAGCTCTCTTCCAAATCTCTTTGCATAGACTTGTGAGCACATCGGAGCTGCATTGGCTTGTTGAAACATGTCACTTGGTATCCCATCAATTCCTGGGGCTCTATTTTTGGCCCATCCCTTCAGCATAGCTTAAAGTTCTTCCTTCCTCACCACTGGTTCCTGATGTTAGGCTGTCTCCTGAAATGATTCTGCATCAGCTAATTCTCATACAGTGACTATGTACCTCGATCGTCTTTTGATACTCCCTAGATTACTCAAGATTTTCTCCACAGCAGCCTTCAGGATTGCAACTTGAGGCTTGAATTTGTTTTCCAGGTCTTTCAGCTTGAGAAATGCCAAGTGAGTTCTTCCCTATTTATTTCCTAACTCCAAAGTCTTTGCACAAGTCTTTCCTTATCAAACTTGTATTCTCGTGCTGTCCTTTGAAGTCTTCTGTTCAACTCTCTACTTCACCATTTCTCCCCTTTGTTTTGGCTTCTCCATGTTCTAGTGCAATTTTCAGAGTCTCTTCTCATATCCATTGTGGGTTTTTTCCCCCTCCCCTGTCTTTTCATTACCTTTTCCTTTCTTCTTGGATGATATCCTTGATGTCACCCCACAAATCACCTGGTTTTGATCATTAGCATTCAGTACCTCAAACCTATTCTTGAGATTCTTTTTTTTTAATTCTGGAGGAATAGATTCAAGGTCATACTTGGTTCCTGGGGACTTTTTTTCTTCAACTTCAATGTGAATTTGTATATGAGTAATTGATGGTCTGTACCACAATTAGAGGATACATTAAATTATTAGGACTCTTAAAAATCACACCTGTGTAATCCAAAAGATTTCTCCAAAAGAGTAAAATGAGAACCTACAGATTAGGAAAAATATTTGTCAAAGGCACATCTAACAAGGGACTCATCTCTAAAATTTATAGAAAACGCCAACATGTCAACAAGAAAAAGACAAACCGCCCAGTCAAAAAAATGGAAAGAGGACATGAGTGGACATTATACCCAAATGCTCAAGATCATTAACAAAGCAACAATGAGGTATTAATTCAGCAAAAATAGCATTATTATGAAAGACATTAAATAAATTCTGGCAAGGGTATGGATCAATTTGAACTCTCACACACTGTTGGTGGGAATGCAAAATGGTGCAATTACTATGAAAAGCTTCCTAAGAAAACTGGAAAGTTATCTAGTAATTGCACACCAGGACCTGATCGCACCAGTTGCTCACTGATCCCCAATCCCAACAGTACTAAACCTCCCCTCTCTCCCCAAGAAACCCCCAAACAAGCCAGGAGGAATGATTCAAAGACAATCTACTAACATTTACACAGGACATATTAAGTAGCCAGTGTTCCTTTAGGCCCCTCTTCTTTCCAGTGTCTGCATCTCTATATTCAGGCATCCCCCACCTCACCTGGAGCAGGTAAACTAGGAAGGTGTTGCCACACAGATTTCTGGGCCCATCTGAGACCAGTGAGAGTATCTCAGGGAATGGGGACCATTAATCTGAATTTTCACAACCTGGGACTCAAGAAGAACGTTTCAATAGGCCAGGACTAAGGAATCCTGACACAGTGACCGTGGCAATGGGCTCAAAGATGATAAGGATCGCACAGAATAGTGCATGGTTCAGATCTGTTGTTCACAGAGTCCCTCTGAGTCGTACTCGACAGCACCTAACAACAATAAAGGAATCTTGAATGTAATCATTTCTAAAATTGGAAAAGAGTGTATGGTAGATGCTTGTAATTTAAAGAACAATGAAGCAAAGAGTCATGTGTACACTCCACCCAGGCTGAGAAAGAGCACTGCTGATACTGAGAAGCCCAGGCTCTTAAGGGTCTCCATCATAACCTTTGGGTACCAGCCCACTGCAGACAAAGCAGCCTCCTAGGATTTGAGGTACTCAATTCCATACTTGCCAGTACATGACTTTATGAATGTACCTTGTAACATCTCTGGTTCTAAATCTTTATATAAATCTAATTGTCTTAGTATGTTTTTACATAACACACTTTTTCACTTTCTAATTGGAAGGTTCCTCTGATTGCCTTTATTTCTTCTTGGCATTGTAGTCAATGGGTCAAAGGCAATTAAAGGGTGCAGTGAACTGGTTCTCCCCTGATTAAGCCATGTTGGGGACGGCTGCATGCTCATCCCTCAAGTTCACGCTAACATTCTCTTACAGGGAAGGCAATTCTTTCACCATCACTTGGTTTGCAAGGAGTAGGCTATTGGAGCTCTGCCCGACCCAGTCACCATCACTCGCGGTTGCCCTAGCTCATGCTCCATCATGGAAAACTGGAGTATCGGCAGTTCCTTTCTTCCTTCTTCTTACTCATCTTCCGGGTGAGCTGGAAATATTAGGGCAAGGGGCTGTGAGGTCGTTGATGGCACAATTCACAGAGGTCTGGATCCAGCTTAAATGCATGCTATCACCCCTCACGCCCCCGCACTTCCTCCTGAGAGGACATGTTAAGTATCTGGGACACTAACAGCTGGCGCCTTCCACCCCAAAGAGGCTGGTGAGGTAATGTCCACACAGAGTCTGTGAGGGCCTTGGGGTGAAAGGTCTCTGTGTGCAGAGTGCACTACTGTGTTCCTCTTCATTCAGGAAAAGTTACCAGCTTCCTTGCCTCCACAAAAGCATCTTTCATCCACAATAGACTCCAGATCGGAGGACCAGCTTCACTAGCGTGGATGGAGACAGCTGCTCTGTTGAAGTCACTGACTGCTCCCACAATACTAGAGAAAGGCACGTGGAGTCTCAGAATAGGAGAACCACTGTGTCCAACGATGGGGAAGTGGGACAGCATTCACATCTGGCTGGCGCTGGCCCTGAAGTGAAGGCTGTTACCTAGGCAGATGGGATGTCAACAGAAGCAGGAACCAGTGATTCTCTATAGACACGGCCAGTGTCCACAGGAAAAGCTGTTCCAGTCTAGCTGTTAGCTTTCAAAGAAAGGGAGCCTTTGTCTCGACCATCCATCTAAGTGGCAGGCACTCAGGGATGGTTGTGTCTAAGACAGTAATTGACCATTATAAGAAACTGTGGCATCCAGGATGGCATTTGTTTCAAGTGTTTATGGTCAAAATGGAGTGTCATTTTTGTCTCAAATTCTATTGTTGTTGTTGTTGTTATGTGCTGTCGAGTCGCCTGCGACTCACAGCGACCATATTTACAACAGCCCTAAACCCTGCTCTATCCCTTGCCAATCTTACGGTCTCCAACACACGTACCCCCGTTACCCCAGTGACAGAATCAATCCATCTCATCAGGGTCTTCTTGGGTCATCAAGGGTCAGAATCTAATTCCATTAGCCAGAGATTGTTTATTTATTTATTTTTTAAATTGTGTGTGTGTGTGTGTGTGTGTGTGTGTACAGTCAAATTGGATCTGACTGGTACAGGAGGAGACTGCCCCTCCTTCTCCGGCAGAGCATCTGGTGGATTTGAACTGCACGCCTTTGGGATTGCAGTGCAGTTTCTTGCCACTAGGCCATCAGAGCTCCCCAAGACTGCTTATTTTTTAAAAAATTTCATTTATCTTGGATGTTATTCCAAATCAAAAAGTAAGCTGCTGCTTTAAATGCTCACTGCAAATTATTTAATAGCATGAAGATAAAATGTCACCATTGAAAAAGACATAGAATAGGAACCAATTTACAAACAAAGAATATAACATTTTATTCATCTCCAGATTATGAGTATTACATACTGTATAATACATATATTTAGAGAATATATATAAAACAAAAAACACACTGTAGAAATAGTGGTCTGAAGTGGTCTTAAAGGACATTTTTAATTCTGTACATCTGTGGTAGATGTATTTCCTCACTCCCTGGGGCAGACAGAGGACACCAGGACTCACAGACCACTCAGACGACAGCTTATACACCCCACTGTACTCACAAGGCCGTTAGGGAGTCCTGATGTGGTCACTGGGGTCCATGGTGACGAGATAAAGAACCACGGCACAGTGAACTAATATAAATATTTCTGCTTTTTTGCATTGTCCTCCAAATAGTTTCCTTTTTAATAGAAGAGTCATGTCTCAGGTCTACTCTTGAGTTACATTCCAGTTATTGCTAGAGGGAATAAACAGGAAAGGAAGCTGTTTATATGATCAGAAAAGAGATGGCCAGTGCCACTGGTGGCCTGGCTCTAGTGCCCCTCCCTTGGGCCTGGGCCGGGGGATGCACACGCATCAGCAGCAGGCAGGTGGGCAGCACCACCACTGTGATAGAGGGAACCCAGAGCTTAGCATAAAGGGGCCTGCCCTCAAACAGGGCCTGGGAACAGGCAGGATGCCCTCAGGGGGGCAGGAGCTCCTGCTGGGCGAGGAGGTGGGGAGGACAATGACACTTCTATGGCAGAACACTCACAAGCTTACAATCTAAAGTAACTCTTAAGACAATGAATGCCCCCCGGAAGACTCTCCTTGCTGCCTCGTCTTCGTAGAAGGCATGCCAGCTTACCTTTGCTTTGTTCTGAACTGGGAGATACAGTTTGAACTCTGCTGGCAGTTCATCTTCAGAGTAGAGTCTGTCTGAGAAGTAAACCCGTCGTATGCGACAGTTTGCGTGGATCTGAGGATGAAAAGACTTGACTTGATAAACAGCTATGAGATACCATCTCACCCAAGTAAGAACAGCAGAATTTAACAGAACAGCAAGCAAAAAATATTGGCGAGGTTGTGGAGAAACTAGAACCCGTAATCACTGTTGGTGGGAGGGTAAAATGATGCAACCACTGTGGAAGGCAGTATGGTGCTTTCTCAGAAAGTTGCAAATAGAGATACCATTTGACCCAGCAAATCCACTACTGGGAACATACACTAAAGAAACCATAACCACCACCCAAGCAGATATATGCACGCCCATTTTTATTGTGGCTTTGTTCACAATAGCAAAGAGTTGGAAACAACCCAAGTGCCCATCAACAAACGAATGGATAGAACAGCTCTGGTATATCCACACAGTGGAATTCTATGTTGCATTGAAAAACAAGGAACTCATCAAATATTATACAAAATGAGTGACCCTGGAGGACATTATGTTGAGTGAATATCTCAGTCACAAAAAGACAAATACTCTACCTTACCTCTGTAACTTGATTTGTGCCACTATTAGAACCTCTACTCAGAATATTATTGCTTTTCAGTTTTTGACTCATGTACTTTTAACTTGTTAGTTAAATTTGTATCTTCTAGGCTGCAACACTTCCATGATACATCTTCAAGGATATGAACATGTATGGCTAAGCACAATTGATAACAGTGCATCTAAATTCCAAAATCAATCTCCATAATAGTCTATGTGTGTCCTACTGCCAAAGGGGCCCTTTAGAGTAGTGAGAGAAGACCTTCACCCTGAAACCCACAGCGTCCCTTTTCAGCAAGAAGTAGCTAAGAGAATATGCCATCCCCCTTTCCTTATGAATCAGGGTGAAGTCTCTCTCAGGGAGGAGTGATAGGGAATGGCAAGGGACACACTGACAAAGGAGATTAATCAGAACTGGCTTTGACAAGCACTGTGGCAATTGGACAATTAAAACAGACATTTGGGGTGGGGAAGAAGAACGAACTGGGGAGGAGGGTGGAGAAAACAGTGCAACAATGAATGAACGAAAGCCCCAAATCTCTGTAAATGTTCACTAAAACTAAGAAAATTTAATAATAATAAAAAAATTTAAAAAAAAAAGACAAATACTACATGGTGCCACTGCTGTAAAACGGGACTGACATCGGGGTTGAGGGGAGAATGAGAAAGAGGGGATAAATAATGTATACTACACTGAAATAGATGAGGGAGAAAACTGTTTAAAAGGGATATGTGATTAGGTATTTTTGTCATGATGGGAGTCCAGAGCGAAAGCTGCATGGCAGAGTGGACCTGAGGGGAGGGATTGTAAAACAATGAAAGAATTTTTCTTTTACTTTTCAAAGAAAAGAGTGAATTAGTGGGGGAGGGGGTAGGCAGGAAGAAAAGTGCAACAATGAATAAATGGAAACCTAAGTCTCTGTAAACTTTCATTAAAATTTTTTTTTAAAAAAAGACAAGACTTGACTTGACCTGAGACTCTAAAGTGCACTGTCTTTCCTGCTCCCGCTCCTCCTGGAGGCCCTCGCCCAGTGCCGGCAGAGCTCCCTCTCTTCAGCATCTCCTCAGCTTGGTTCGGGGGGATTCTGGCGAGAGTGCAGCTGTGATCCCCCCCTCTACTGGAGCAGACTCCTGAAGAGTTTCTGAATCTCTTCAAGGCTCAAAACCCTCTGGATAGTGACTTAAGAACTTTAGCCGGAAATGCCCATGACTGTTTCCCACGGGCCACAAGCCCACAAGCCAGCATCAGGCAAAGCACAGCCTTCCTTCCCCTGCCTGAGGCTCCATGTGAAAAAGCAGCGGGTACCTGCACTCGTAGGGTCTCAATGTAGTTTGTGCCATATGCCCGCCGGGTGAAGTCTGACAGGTTGAACTGGATCTGGTTCCAGCCGTCATCCAGCCGCATGGGCATGGTGCAGATAAAGGGTTTGACCCGCGTCGTGCTCTGGTAGTTACTTGCCCTAAACCGCCGACGTACGTTCTTGTCATCGAGTACCTGTGACACAGAGGACAGTCACATTCACTCCTGGAAGCAGCACACATCCTCAGGAAGACAAGGACCTGAGCTCACACAGCTTAGTCTCCCAAGGCCGAAACCCAATGGGGAATAAACGCTCCAGGTTACAGAGCACGCTGGACGCAGATGTGCCAGGAGCAGCAAAGCCAGTTGACTTTATTTGCTTCCAAGACAGCAGCAGCTGTTTATGACATATGAAGGTGACTCTCAAGTCCATGAAATGAATAAAAGTTATTTCCTTTGAGAAATAAAAAAATACCAAAAGAGACTAAGACTAACAACCCAGTATTGAAAAACCATTTTCTAAATGGACACTATTCCAAAGCTCTGAAACCTTGTTATTATTGACTACATTTCCTAAGTGGTCACTAGTTCTTTAAAAATTGGCATTCATGTCTGATCAATAACACCCTATTTAAGCAATTATAACTAACTCGCAGATGACCTTCCATCAGGTTTTCGGAGCTACACGGGACCACTGGCCGCGTGTGGATCCGAACCAGCAGAAAGGTGTACCTTCTGAGTTAGCAGCACAATTCCCTAGAAACCAGGCCACCAGAGCTCTCTAAACTAACAGCAGAGACAGACAATAACATGTACAAAAGGACAAAGACACTCTTCTAAAGCCATCAGCTCCCAGAAGTGGGAAGGTTGCCTCTTGGGAAGAGCCCAAAGCATACACATTCATAAGAACATACTTACCTGTACTTCAAAGGTAAAATATTTCTTTAGGTTTTTGATAATCATGACGAGGAAGGGAAGTTTAATTCCTAGCGTCTTCTTTGGGTCTGCAGGGCAGGTAATGTACGTGGTGCTGCAGAGAGAGGAAATGCTGATAAACTACCAGCCTCATTTCTGTATGGTTGTTGTTGGGTGTTGTCAAGTAGAATATGACCCATGGCAACCCAATAAACAACAGATCTGAACCCTGTCCCATCCTGTGCCATCCTCACACTTCCTGACACACTAGAGCCACTGCAGTAGTCACTGTCCTCCACCAACCCTCTGCCTTTCCAAGCATCATGTTCCTTTCCAAGGAAGAGCCCCTCCTAGCAACTCGCCTGAAGTATGTGAGGCAAAGCTTCTTTGCCTTCAAAGAGCACTCTGGCTGCACTTTCTTCACTTTGCAGATGAGGACACCAAGGCTCAAGGTCTTTAGTAACTTGCTCAAGATAAGCTCCAAGCAGCAGAGCTGGGTTTACCTACACCAGGTGGTCGGATTCAGCACCGTTGGTATTAAGTGTGATGATATACTGCCACTCTGAGTGAGTGGGCCACTTACCTGACATTTGTCCCTTCAATCTCCAGTACCAGGGATTGGATGTCATTATCAGTGATTCTTTTGATGTGACCATTTCGTACCTTCAAGTAATTAAAAAAAAAAAAAGAGAGAGAGAGATTGTTAAGTATCAATATCTTTAGAGGCAAGGCTGTTAAGATTCTCAAGGCTACAGAAGATAATTTCACCAAACCCAAAGTAGCCCGGTGGGGTTACATTATTATTTTGAAGCTTGATGGAAGCAAAGAAAGCAAGTCATTGTCTTAAACAGGGTCCCATCACCACCATGGGAATTCCAGGAAATCTAGCAATCTTCAAGTCAGGATTACTTTCTTTCTGAAGGTATCAACTCAATTGTGCTTCAACTAATATCAATCTACTCCGTGCTGGCCATGCTCTAAGAACATTCATCTACACTGTCTCACTTACCTAACAACAAAAAGTAACAGAAAGGGGCCATGGTTTCCATTATGTAGATGCAGGAGTGTGAACTACTGGTTTCAAGTGGAAGAGTCAGAAATAACAAGCAAGGTTTCTCCTATACCTTCTGTCAAAAACATCAATAAAATGCCAAATGTCACTGAGAAGGACCGGAGCAAAGAGTCAAAAGATTACATCCCTGGATTTACACCTACTTCTCATTTTCTTATTCTCCTCCCTAAACTAGTACATCATACCTTACATCATACTTGGAGAAGAAAGTATGAGGTAAGTCCCATCTGCACCCCCAGAAGCATCCTTCAGCCTTTGCAGTCCACACGGACCTCTGCCCTCTGAACTGCCTTTCTGGCTCATGCAGTCTAGACCACATTACTCAGAACTTCATTCATTGCCATGCAGTGTATACTGTATATTCAAGAAATCCATCAGTGCTTCTTTAACACTGAATCTTCCCCTTCAAATATTGAGGAAAGAACAATTCTCTTCCAGCATTAAACCCTGACCGCCTAAAATGGACAGAGCAGAGCTGGACAAAGGCACTTCTAGGGCAGGGCTGAAAAGATCAAGCAGGGACAGAACAGGAAGCATGAGCAAGACGAGTGTGGTCTTCTCTAGGGAGAGATGTGACTGCACTGGGCCGTCAAGTGACTCAGTCACATCAGCTGAAGCTCTCCTTGGCTCCTTCACCAGCCATCTGATTACAACTTGGCTCTGCATTCGATCTGCGTGTAGAGAGAGGACACTATTTTCAACACAGGTCACTGAGAACATGCGTTCTACTTTTAGACTTTGGTCTCTGTGAGCTGTTCCCATAAGTGTAACCCCTCAAGGTGTGCTTGGCTTTCTCCGGGTGACATCTGGTATCACTGCCTGCAAATGAGTCTTGTCTCAAAAAGTACATGCTCAAGAGCAGAAGACAGGTCTGTGGCATCTTTTGTATCTTCTACAATGCTTAATAGTATCCTAAGCATTCAAATATTTGCCAACTCCTGGAATTTGTCACTCTTAAGAGTTGGCACATATAAATAGTTTCACGATTTTGGAAAAGGTTCTGGATAACACGAAGTACTATCGGAAGTCACAGACATGGGGATACAGCACAGAGCTTGTGAGAGAGGCACCGTGCGACAATACTTTCCCACAAAGCATCTTCTGGTGCACATGGTTAAGAACATAATGTGGGCTTGATGGGTCCCCAGTCTCTGCCAAAGTAGCATTTCTTGGGTTCTTCAAGACACAAATGTCACATTGAAGTGCTTCTCAAACAAGGCTGCTGACATCCAGTGACCTCCTGCTTTGAATTCTGGGCAGCTTTCCAAAGGGAGATTAGAAGCACAAAGCCTTGCATGCCAACACTGCCCGTCTCATTGCCCACACAAATGTTCTGACCAAAGTGGCAGTGTGTTTCCTATACTTTCTGGCCCACAGCTGCCATAGGAAATCAGCCAGACTTGTTAGTAAAGAAAGAATCAAGAAATTACTTTTAAACAATGTGTTGTAGCCACACTAAAGAGTGACAATATTCCGACAAGATACAAAACACTAATTTTGGAGCATACCACTAATTGTTCTTAATAACTTTACTCTTTCTTAGAAAGGAACACAATGTAAAGATTAAACATTTTATTACTCTGTGAAAGGATTAAGAAGTAACTATGAGCACAGGGTTACTATTGCTAAAGGCAACACGTTGCAGTTTATCCAGCACTTTTTTTAATATGTGGCCTCAACTCTCACATCTCCAAAGGTCTCAGTCCAGAGCCAGTGAGAGGAACAGCAAGGGTGGAGGGTTCTTAAAGGGAGACGATGCTGGAAAGTAAGTCTTCTGCTCATCCCAAAACTCTAGCAGATGATTTCCCTGAACACTCGAGCAAATGTGACATATTCAGGTCGCGACAGAAGCAAACAATGCCTTATGCTGAGCAAAAAGGCTGCCCAACAGGAAACCGAAATGGACTACCGTATTCCTCCGCATCTGGCCGAGGCCAGCTAATTTTCAGCTGAACTTTCAATAACTTCCAAAGGAGAAAAGTAACCACACTAGATAACGAGCTACATGTCCACATTTAACACAAAATGAGTCAACGCATTCCATAAAACAAGAGAACGTGGGAAAAGAAAAGCCGCTCTTTTGGAACAAAGTCCATCAGCCTCCAGAGTTTCCACCTGGCTGGCCGGGAGACAATCTAAACAGAGAAGGTAAATAAAGCACAAAGAGAAAGTTCAACCTCTACGAAAGAAAAAAACCCAAGTATTCACAAGCTGCCAGAACTCTGAAATGAAATGAAGCTCAAATGTTAATGAATTACAAGTTGATTTTGTTGTGTTTTGTTGTTTTGTTTTTTTTTTTAACTTTACTAAGTTAAAAATGTAAAAAACCAAAAACAAAAACTTCACTGGAAGAAAAGAGTGGGGCCTAGGGCAGGAAATCAATTGATTAAAAAATACAAGTACTTAAGGAATCCTTACATTGTGCATATGGTTCGTTCCTAACACAAAGTCAGAGGTCAAGGCTATCCAGAGGGCTTTAGAAGGTAGCCTGGAGGTCTACTTTTGAAATATTAGCCACTGAAATCCCTACGTCACGTATGGGGTCGTAATGCACTCAAATGTAACTAGTATGAAACTTCTTAAATGAAAAGGAAACTGAGGTAGGTAATCTGGGGCAAGGCTTTCCAAACTGGCAGATGCAAAGGTCTTCCACAAAGCAAACTCTCCACCCACTTTGTAGCAAACACTTCTAACATGGTAAGTGTCCTTAGACATGCACCAACTGCCTTTCCTTAGTTTCTTCCAGTTCAGACATCACTGGCAGGTGTGGCTTTGGAATGAAAACAAAATAAACCAGGCAGCTTTTATCTCCTTCTCTAAATCAAAAAGATTTACAAATTGTTTTTTAGTTGCTAGAATTGTTGATGCCTTTGAATTGTGTTGAGAATACTGACTATCCAATGACTACAAAAAGAACAAATCTGTCTTGGAGAAAGTGCAATTAGGGTGATCCTTAAGAGGCAAGCATGGTGAAACTTTATCCTATATACTTTGGGCATGTTGACAGGAGGGCCCAGTCCTTGGAAAAAAGGCATCATGCTAGTAAAGGTGGAGGGTCAGGGAAAGACAGACTCTCAACAAGATGGACTGACAGGTGCAATATAGGGGAAAGCTTAGGTCTGTTCACGGAGGCAGAGGGAGTGAGTTGCTGTGAGTAGTAGCCGACTCAACGGCACCTAATAACAATAATTCTTTTTTAAATTTCATGATAATCTCATTATCACAGTGTGGTCTACTTTTCAATTTTATTTTATTCCTCCAGCAAAAATAATTTAATCTTGTATTGTTTCATGAGCCTCATCCCTCCTCCATGAGCTGGTGGTTCTTAGGAGCCTCAGAAGCCAGGCAACTAGCAATTACAGATCACATCTCGGTCTCTGCAGACACCTGCAAGGGGACCTCCAAGCCCTTGCAATCACTCTCCCAGTTTCCATGGTTGCTGGGGCAACTGATAAAGAATACTGATCCTTCCCCCCTCCCCACTCCCCCACTGTAAGCCCCAGGGAGGAGGGTCAGGCTGGAGGGGAAAGAATAAGAGTGGGGTAGGGAGGAAGCTGGCCAGTACTCTATATTTCTAAGAGTGTTTTAAAAATAGCACATGAACTGTAGCCAATCGTCCCTCCCCCCACTTTCATTTTTCTGGTTCCACCCACTTATCCTGGCAGACAGCTGAATCCTTAGCCATCTGGCATCTTAGTCTTAATGACACATGTTCCAATTTACATTAAGCCATTAGAGCTGTCCATTAGAGCAGGGAAGTTCTGTGCCCTGGGCTAGGGGCTGGGCGCCAACTCAGAAAACAAGCAGAGGGAGACCTCTGTGGGGAGACCCGGGCACTGCAGGCTTCCCACAGTGCCTTTACAGACACCCCTGGAAGAAGGAACCGAGGAGTGCATTTCCAACAAGGCTCTTCCTAACTGTCCCACAGAGTGCAAGTGTTAACTAAAACCCATGTCCTCCTCCAGCTCCAGTGAACACTCGGAATCATGGAGAACATATTCTGACTGACCATGGGAGAGTCTGAGGGGAAAAAACATTTTTCTTCTTTTTTTAAGTTTTACTATGTGGTTTTGTCTGCTAAATTAAAGTTGGGATATGGGAATTTTTCTTCCTAGTTGCTGTTAAGTGCCAGAGTCGGAGCTGACTCACAGGTGACACCCCCCAGGGTTCAAAGGCAGTAAATAGCATAGGGAAACTGCACATCCCATGGAGCAGCTCACGGAATCCAACTGCGTGCCCCAGGCTGACTGTGCAGCTCCCTACCACCAGGCTGCCAGAGATGAGAATATGACACTAACTCATAAGAAAAAAATTTTTAGGGGAGCTCTGGTGGCCTAGTGGCAAGAAGCTGCACTGCAATACCAAAGGTAGGCGGTTCAAATCCACCAGATGCTCTGCCGGAGGAGGAGGGGCAATCTCCTCCTGTACCAGTCAGATCCGATTTGACGGTACACATACCAAAAAAAAAAAAAGGATTTTTTTTTTTAAATCTTGGCTGTAATACTTAGTTTGGGAACACAGGAGAAGCAGCAGCAACCGAAAGACAAGGTAAATGAAAGAAATGATTTCATGCCACAACATCGCCACATGG